TCTTTCCCTCTCGTTCTGCCCCTCGGGGCATCAGGGTGCCCACAGGGCTGACATCGCAGTTCCCTGCCTGTGCACAGCCAAAGTAGGGGCAGACCCTGGTGCAGCCAGGAGAGTGACCCCCAAGCACCTGCCACCACCCAGCCTGGGGTGAAAGCACTTTTTCTGCCATGTCCTTTCCTGCCTCTGCTCCTGCCCCTCTCCCCCTCAAAATCCACATGCCAGCTTTTAACGTCTTGGCTCACTTCTTGCCCTCTACATAAGCAGGATGTGTAACCAGCCATGACCTTAGACGTCACCTTTTGCTACAGCAAAAGTAATTTCACCCTTTTTTCCCAAATTTTGAGCCTGCCCCGTTGTTAGTGAGGAGCTGAGCAAGCTGCAGGGTGTGTGTTGTTGCCCCCATGGCTGCACACACCTGCGAGGTTGGGAAAGGACATGGCAACAGGGAAGTTCCCAGATGCTTTTTGGCTTCTCCACCCCTCTTCAACTCGAGGCAGAAGTTCTGCTCATCCTCAGGAAAAGGTAGGGTGAAAAATCTCACTTCTGAGGCTGGCAAAGCAGGAAGCCTGGAGTGATGGTTAAAGTAAGGAAAACATCCCATTCGTGAGTGAAGAGTGACAAGGAAATACCTGGCCCGTAATATAGCAGGTAAATTGTTTTACAAGCTGGAAATTCTTCCCCCAAGGCCCGTATGAATTTTTAGCAGGGGTTTGTACAAGAACATTTAACACTACGTTGTTAAGCTTTTGTTGCCTTTTCCAGTAGTGCTCAGGCTCAGAAAATGAGTTTTACTTGTCGGGAGCCAGAGCTCGGCCATGCCAGCGCAGCGGCCACCCTGCTCATCTCACCAGGTGCAGCAGCACACGGGGAAAAAGCCCTTGGTGCATTTGCATGAACATTATAAAGTGGCTCTGTCTGTCCAGCTGCCTTTTTTGCTTTTGAAAATGTCCTACTTAAAAGAGCAACTAATAGTAAATACATTCCTAAATATATTTCACAGATCCAGTCCTTGGGGTGACTGAATAAAACATCAGAGAGATCTCTGCACATGTTAAGATTTCTGTGCAGTGCTGTGGAATACGCAGCATAAAACAGAATCCCTAATGTGCTATTTACAGCTTAATACAAAAGTGAAATTGTCTTTTCCTTAAAACCTGGAGGTAGCTGAGGAAGCAGGACAACGTGTTGCTCTGTGGCTGTAAATCCCAAATGTGCCAATGTTGAAACACCTGGGTCAGGTATGACAGGGAACCAGCAGCCAAGTGACAAGCTGCCTCTCATTTCTCGAGCAGGAGTTGTGGCAGACTTTGAATTCATTCTGATCAGAAGAGAAGAGAAGGAGCTTTAATATCTGGGATGAAAGTTTAATGAGCAAACTCCAGGAGTAATTTACCACATATTTAAAATGCCTCACAACATGTTTTTATACTGTTTGGTGGCATTTTTAGGCATACCAGGTGCAGGTAGAACCTGAATGGTTGAATTGTTAAATTTTCTTTTGAAAAAGACTTTTTTTTTTTGCTTCAAAAAAAATGCAACGTTGCCCTTTTATTATTGAGAAAATGTAGTTCCTTTTAAGTGAAAAGGAAGACTCTACAGAAGCAGTTTTGGAGAGATAAAAGTTGAATGGCTTCTCTTCTGCGCCCAGGTTTGCATGTCCAATGCCTCTGTGAGTCAGCTGTAATTACATTTCTATATTGTATTATAGTAAAAAAGGGGCTCCCTGAAATCCCGGAGCAGCACAGAAACAAAATTCTTCCTATTAATCTAAACGGCTTCCCACTTTAGAATAGAATTCCCACTGTAGCTTCCAGGTGACTTGATGTATTTTAAACACGGTCACTGAAAATGATTGTTGTTTTTAATGAGCTATAGATGCTCGCTGGGGTAACATCTTGACTGCTTCAAAGCCAGGGAGCTGGAACACGTGCCATGTCAGGGTCCCACCAACCACTGATGGTGCTGCCTCTTCCTGGGAAATAGGGTTTTTTCTTCATTAATCCATTGGCTTTAGCAGCCACGGTAAGTTCTAGCAATTCTCAGCCTTTAATGTTAACGCTCTACCTGAAAATCCCTGATTTAAACAGAGCTCTGGGACCTTCAGGTGCTGGTTTCTCCTGGGACCTGTGCTGAGGAGTTCACTCAACTAGGCTCTCTGTCTTGCCGGGGCCCCCCCAGAATTCTCTCAGACCCTCAAACAAAATGGCAAATCGTGGCTTTACAGGCAGTGTTAGCTGCCTTTTGTGGTCGCGAGCGTGTGTCTCGCCCAGCTGCTTTATCAGCTTTGAGGATAGGTGCTTTTTTTCATGCATCAAATTTAGGAAATAATAAAAACAGGTTTTGTCAGATTCTTTGCAGAAGGTAGAGCCTGCAGTGTGCATATACAGATGCCTTGCAGTTTGGAAATGCGATCTGCAATGTTCACTAATTGATAAATTGCTGGGCTTGTCAACATTGCCAAAAAAGAATGGATTTTGGGGTCAATTGGAAGAAAATCTTACATTGCTCTATTTATATAGAACTGAAGTTGAACTGGACTAAATTGGGCACTTGACCCCATGATGACTAAAAAATGAGAGTTTGGGGGTCTTTGCATGCTGTTATGAATGAGTGACTTGGATTCCATGTTTTGTGTGACAACAGTGTAGACTGAGGAATGTTTCTGTCAGCAATAACAAAAATTATTGCCATTCTGTCACACCAGTTGCTCTGCCCAAGCAGGCAGAAGATGGCAAGTGATTGACACATTATTCCCCCCCCCTCAAAAAAAAAAATTCATCCTCAGTTCTTAAGTGTGTTGTTTTATTTTGTCACTGGAGAAACTCAGAGAAAAATGAGTTTGTTTTTACTTGTAAGGCTTTACTCAGTTGCCCAATTCCGCAGAGGAGCTGGACTATGGGGATCTCTCAGGTAAGGGCTAGTCTGTAGGTAAACTGCTGCTCTTCTCTGCTAGATTCTGATTCCACTTGGATTTCTGCATCTTGGCCATGTTGCATTGTATAGTTGCTGTGCTGTAGCCATCCCTCCAACGCACCGTCTCCCAGCTTGGACGTATGCTGCTTTCTGTTGGGATTTTCCTCCCTTTTTTTGGTTTTGGCACCCATTTCTGTGTGGCACCCTTGAAAACAGGGTGGGATGCTTGCAGAGCGGTGAGACACAACATTTCAGGTTCCTCCCGGCTGCTGGCCTGTTGTTTTTTGGACACTAAATGGGAGACAGGGGAGTTGAAACTTTATGTTTGTAACATGGTTGATTCTTCCGTGCTGTGTGACACCATCTGTAGCAAATGCAGCTGGGGCTAAATCTCTGCTGCTTGGTGATTTCTTACAATACAAGTATCAGATTGAGGATAAAAAGCAGGTAATTGTCTTAATAGCAGAGGCACAACCAGGTAAATGGTTTGAACCTCTCTTTATCCACTGGACTGCAAGTTACAGAAGTACATCCTTAGAGTTGGACCTTATGGATTAGCACTAATCCAGATTAAGAACTAAAAGCATCTTCAGCGGATGCAGTGAGTACGTTCAAAATGGGTTTTGACACAGGTCATATCAATCGTACAAACATCATCTAAACTAGAGTCTTCCTAAGCATTTGTAGAAGCTCACCCCATTTTTTGGCCCTGTTTCTCAGAGCCTCCCTGCAGCCCTGCCTGGGGGTGACGGGTCCAACACTCTTCCCTTTCGGGTTTGAACATGGAGCAAAACCTAATGCCCAAAAGGCCAATCCCCAGGTACTCATCTCCTGTAAAATGCTTTCCTGTCACCTGATCAGATTGGCAGATCTTCCCATAAGCCACTATAGGTTTGCTTTGGCCAGGAGGTGAGAAATGTTTGGTTCAGTTGCTCTGTGTTCTAACACCTGAGCCATGCTAGTAATGGTTATTGCAACCTGGCTAGATCTCGTGGGTAAGGAGCACTAGGTGTCTGTTAAATACCCGTGTGGATGGGAGAGAGTTGTTTCTCTCTGATAAGCGTTATTTTTTTAAATTGGTATTTTTTTAAAGAAAAAAAAATACCTTTTGGTGAATTGAAGAGAAGAATGGGAAGCAATTCCACCAGGGAATTCCTCAAAATGGGTGTCTGCCAGCAGCCCTGCCCCTGAGCACCTCTAACCCCATGTGGGGCCAGTGGCACAGCCACAGGCATCACCCTGTGGAGTGGCTGTGCCATGTTCAATGGCTGGTGCCTTTTCCTGAGCATGTAGCTCAAGGTTTCCATTCGTCTGGATGTGGAATGTAAGTCAAAATTCCCCAAAGCTGTACAGAGGGCCGTGCACACTCAGCTGCTGCTGACAGTAAGCACCTGTTGGGCACTGCCAATACACCCATTCTGACAGCTGATTTTACTTTTTTTTTTCCTAAGCGTTTCCAAATTTTACTTGTTGCTCTCTCAGTTACTGACATACACCCCAGGGGTGGCCACACTGAGCCAAACACACCAGTGTCACTAGGGAACAAACCCCAAGCTCTGCCCTCCAGCCCATCACCATGCCCAGACTCTGGGAAACTGAAATCAGATCCTGGTTGGGGTCGGCAGGTTTGGGCTGTCACGGGTGGTCCAGGTGAGTGCTGGAGCTGAGCTCTCCATTGGGAATGCTGCCCTCTGCTCCCTGGGGAGCAGGGAGCCCCTGGGGATGGGCGCAGGGCTGCGTGCCTGCCCCCCACCCCGGGGATGGTGGGTGCTGCCCGCGCGGGTGCTGCTGCCGTGTTTGCTCAGTTTGCTGTTCCTTCCAGGTACTCCCGTCCCGCTAAACGCTTCAACGGAGGCTCTGCCAACTCTGCCATTAAGTAATGCATCCCTTGCCTTCTGCCCAGGTAGCTAGTGTCCAGAGCTGTGCTCGCTTCTCCTGGCCCAGCTGCCTGTGTCCCTGCCGCTCCCAAACCTCCTCTCGTTCCTCCTGCAGGAGATGCTCGGGTGCAGGGGCTCTGTGCTCAGCTCCTGGCTCCTGACCTGCCACCTCTGCACCTGTAGATACAACACACCTGTGTGTGCTGCTACTGCCTGCTCTGGGGGCAGTGTTGGGGTCCCCCCCACAGCACCCCATGTCCCAGACACCGTGCAGCTCCCCGCTCTGCTCCAGTCTTTATACACCTCTCATAGCACAGGGAGGGACCAGGAAGGACCTATGTAGCCTACACATTGGGTTTGATTAACTAATCAAAACCTGATTAGCACCTCTGTTCAAGGGGATGCTGATGAATCGACTGCCATCGATTGGGAGGGGGGCTCCATTTTGTCATAGAGAGGAGTCCGAGGAAAGACCTGATAAGCATTGAGCGCCTGTCATAGTGATTAAATTTATTAAAACAAAGCACATTATTTTTTTATGAAGCAATCTTGAAATGGGTGACTGAAGGGAAACTTATTGATTGAAGAAGGATGAACTCCTCCAATTTCTCTGACTTAAATTAGACCAAATTCAATTGCAATACAACAAACAGGTTAATGCTGCTCTTCAGTAAATTAGAGCGGGGTCGCGCGCCCAACGCCGCGCTGTAGGAATGACTGACACCATTGCTCATCCTGCCATTCCCAGGCAGGGAGCTCTGTCCTCCCATCGAGGAGGTTAAGTGGTTTCTAGTGTTTCTGAAATAACAGCCTCTTCTCCCACCAGCACCCCCCGCCAACTCCAGCTCCTCCTGCTGCTCCATTGTTTCCAGATCTTCATTCCACAAGAGAATTAACCACTAATTCACTGGGAAATATTAGTGCTAACTTCTAAGTTTCCTAGCTCCTGGCACAGAGGAGTGGTTGGCTTACTGTTCTTTCAGAAGCACACAAGGGGCCTCAGGCCATGGAGCACACCAGAAATGTGGTGAGAGGCACTGTCTGAAGCCATAATGGTCCCAGGAATACTGCTGGAGGCAACAGAGGGGCTTGATGCCCAGCTCGGCCCTGATCCCTTCACAGAGGTGATCCCAAATCTGCCTTCTTGAGCCTTACAGGTCCCTGTGCTGAAAACTCACAGAGCACTGAAAGTAAAAATTAAGTGTTTTGTCCCTAATGGGTCTGAAGCTTATAGATCAGGTATAATTGGGATTTAAAATACCAGCTTGTACAGTCAGCCGGGTCCAACTTTGTCTTTCTCTTAAGCTTGAGATGTTGCCACTTAGAAAAGAATAGAAGCTAGAATATACATAGATATAGATATAGATAGTTTAAAGCCTCATTAAAACCAGAATTGAATGGAACCTGTTCATTGAGTAGCTGGGAGAAGTCTTCCTTATGCTAAACCTTGCTGTAAGCACTTGACCCACATTGTTAGGACATGGCTATTAAAATCTGTCAGCTTGTCCATACTCTTGAGGCAGTCCATGGGCAGCTATTTTTAAACAATTATATCTGCAAAATGTTAGAAAAATTGAGATCATTAATACATTTATTTTTTTAAAGTGTCTCAAAGAAAGCCAGGACTAAGCACCTGCAGGTTTATAGCAGGTTTATAGTAGGTTGACAGTACTTAGAGGATGCCCAGGTAAACATCTCCTCGGTGTTGCTCCCAATGCTCAGAATAAGTTACATTAGTCTGGTGTTGGTCACCAGGGCCCAATCACACCTGACTTTCTCTTCTGTCTATGTCATGATTTGCACTCTTTTTTTTTTTAAAGGAAAACTTCAGGGTTCCTGTTCTGCTGCTCTTACAGATCTGCACCCCCTGCAGACAAGCCCAGTGCTCCATCAGCTCCATGATGGCATCCCTCTAATGCTGGGCACAGCCCTGCTGCTCTCTTGGGGGAGGCAATGCAGGAGTTTAAAAGAGAAATTGATTTTTTTCAGCATATCCTCAGTTATTGCAAGTGGGTTGTACTGTTACTGCTGCAGTTTTCCTTTAAGGTGCTTTGGAGTCATGCAAAGCACCACCCCACAACCCTGGGAGCAGCTGAGGTGCAGAGTAGCCACGTAGGTGTGCGCATGTTGCTCCCAACATGCAGCCACGTCTGCACCTTTCCCTGCTCTTCCCTCCCTCCTTCCACTCCCACCCACAAGAAACCACAAGCAAGCCAGAAACCTAATAGGAAAATTCAGGCTATTCAAGGTAAAGGCCAGCGTGCTGCAATATATATTAACATCTTAATGGGAAAGCTCTGCATGTATACATTTACTACTCTCTGACAAGAGGGAATTAAATGTCAGAAGGATTTGTAGCATCTATAATTGAATTGGTGCTGAGAAAAGCAAATCTTAAGGAAGAATAACATATTAGGATTAGCAAATAATGTGGCGTTTTGTCAGTTCCTGCCATCTCTTCTCTTCCCTCTTCAGTAATAAAGTTGTGATTTCTTTTTTAATCATAGATATGAAGCGAGAATAGCTTTTGTGAATCAGAGACAGCATTTGGAAGCAGATTCTGGTTTCTACAGTCAAGTCTCTTTTCAAGCAAAAAAATTGGAGAATTATTACTTGCTCTGTAGACCTAAAGTTTGTTTTTTTTTAATTGGCCCAATTTGCTGGGGGCAATGGCCAAAATTTTTAAAATGTTTTTTTTTTTCTTAAAAATTGCAAGTAGTTTATCAATGCAACACAGGAAACATATGAGGCAGATTTCTTTTTGACAAATGCAAGTGGTTTAATGTCTCTAAATGCAGAATATCTATTTTAAGGCGAACCTTCCACCTGTTTTGCCTGCAGAGGAGCTGAGGCTGTTGCTGTGGTCCCACAGTGGGACAGGCTTTTGGTTGCTGTTGTGGCCAAGCTGTGCCATAGTCCCCACCCGTGCCCAAGTTCCAGCTCTCCAGAACTTTAATTTATGGTGATTAAGGGAAAAATGCCTCTTGATGCAAACTCCTGCTACAAGCACATTACAGAGCCATAACTCAGCATGTTTATTCCTCTCAGCTGTTGTTGATGTCACAAAGATATCCATCCTGCTGGGTTGGGATGCTGCTGTCTCCTCTTGGGTGCAGCTGAGTGCAACCGGGTGCTGAGTTCCTCTTGAAACAGATCAAGAGACAGGGAGCAGAACGTGTTTGTGGCAGCTTAGCTGAGCTCCAAGCCATGGGCTGGGGTGGAGTGCCCAGGATTGCTCTTTCCTTCATGGCTGCTGGCCTGGGCAGGCAATGGAGCCTTTGCCCAACTCTGCTCAACTCCCCGTGCACTTCCCTGGGCAGCTCCCCATGGGCAGGCAGGGCTGCTGGGCTGCTTGCCCAGGCAGCCAGGGCTGGGAAGTGTTGGTGATAAAGTCTGTTCTGCTGCAGCTGATGCAGAACGTCCCTCCCTCACTGTGTGTCTCGGTTACTCTGGCACGCTCTGACCGCAGAGAAAGCACTTGGATTTATGTCATATGGCAGCAAAGGCTTTTGGTTTGCAGGGGAATCTTTTTTGGCCACGGCTTTTAGTTCATCAGCTGAGTCAGAGCAGGATCCTCCAATTGCAGCACTAAGAGGCTGCTCTGTTCAGTCACTTACCTCATCCTGGTCTAGCCCAGGCATCCTAGAGCTCCTGCTCTTAGAACTTGCTCGGAGAAACACTCAGGGTTTTTTTCTTAAATAGTTTTAATTAAAAGCCGCTTTATGGTGCTCTCAGTCACGAGTTATTTACTTAGGTCCCTCAGTCCTTAATCTTGGAGCAGAATTGGAAATATCGATGGAAAGCGTAAATCCCAGGCTGCTGCTTTTGCAAGCTTTGTATCAGGTCTCAGCTCCAAAGAGCACCATTACCTTTGGCTGTCACGGATCTGTACGCTTGATCGATAAACTTCAAATATTATTAGAGGTGGAGGCTTCAGAGATTTGCTCTGTTCTTTGGAGGGAGACGGAGGTAAATCTTTCTTAAGAATTGACTTGCATTTGCACTCTCAGTCTTCCTGGTAAAATGCATTTCTCTGAGGTGTCTGGGCAACTGCATGTGGGACAGATTTATAGGCCGTGTGCTTCTTGTAGTGAAAGATTTAAATGGTAAATCCTTCACATATGACTTCACAAATCATGTAAAGTTAAAAGATTTTTACCGTTTCTGTTGCTGCTGTGCTTAAATTGTAAGGTACGGCCAGTAAATCATTTTAATGGAGGTGTCGTGCTTGACTCAATGAAAAAAAAGAGACAGTGGTTTAGCTTCTATTCCAAAATGTTAATGTATTAATCAACGGGAGAATAATTGTTTTTTACTGCGTCATAAATCTCGGTTGCCATTAGGATTGCAGCGAGGGTTGATGTAGCTGCGTTCTTAAATTAAAATTGTTTACACTGCTATACATTCACTTTACATGGCCATAGCTCATTCTGGGTTCATTTTGGAGTTGTTCCTCCGCCAAATAAGTCATTCCTCTCCCGGGTGACGGCGTCCTGAGGGAGAGACGCTTATAAAGGAAAACTAATTGCATGGCGAGTCGTTAAATAAATGAAATAAAGCAGTTGGAGGCACTGCACTATTATTGCTCGCTATCTGCTTCTGAAGAGGTTTTTATAGTTTGGATTAGGAGGTTTTGTGTATTTAGACATGGTGGACAGCATTGAACAGCCAAGGTTGTGTGTAATGATGTTCACAGGAGCCCTTGGCTTGGGGGAGAGGATGGGTGCCAACGCTTTGGGCTGGTTGGTTTTTGGTCACACAGTTCTTTGGGCCAAAGTTTAGATGTTTTCAAGAGGGCACTTGCTGATGATGTTTCTCCAGAGCTAATGATTAATATTTCCACATTCTACTGCCATTCCTTGTGCCCCTGCCCCCCAGGGAGGTTGACATTTGGGGAAGATTGTAGGGAAGTTCCCCAAAATACACACCCACTGGCAACTCCATGTCTCCTCTCCTCTCCCAGCTGTCTTCCACGTGTGTAGTCATAGTGCTGCTGCTTGTAGTGGAAACACCTTGCAAGTCCAGTTGCCAGATCAGTTCGGCTCTGGACAAAGTTCCTCTGCCTGAACTCATCTGCATAGATAGCTCTGTACTTCCCCCTTCTCCTTTGGAGAGCCCACAGGGGGCTTTTCCCACCTGAGAGCAGCTGCAGCCAGCCCCTTCAGCCTGCTCTTGAACAAGTCCCCAGTTCTTATTCCTCTTCTGCTCTCCACAGATTCTCGCGCAGGTGAGGAGGGGGCGATTCGCAGTGTGGACCACGCCGTGGTGGGCGGCGTTGTGGCCGTGGTCGTGTTTGCAATGCTTTGCCTGCTCATCATTTTAGGGCGATATTTTGCCAGGCATAAAGGTAAGACGAGGACCAAAATGCTGTTGGGTTTGTGTGAAACAATCAGTTTTGGGAACAACTTCCAGAGCAAGTCTAAACACGCACACAGAATTGTGTTCCCCTCTGTGTATGTTTGTACAGAAAGGCTTGATGTTAACTGGGGCTTATTTAATGTATGTGGGAAAGCTGACAGAGGATGAGAGGCTGGTTATGGCTGCAGCTGGGATGGAGTGAATAATGTTGAGGAGAGAGGAGAAAGGGGAAAAAAAACAACCAAAAGCACTTTAGGGGAGAGAGAAAGTGGAGATGAGAGATTTGTCTCCTTTAAGTAAAGCATATAAAATGCCTTTTTACCAGTATTTGTGTGTTTCTGTGAGGGAGAAGTAGCTGTGACCTGATTGCTTTTCTGAATATGATGCTGTAGAGCATCGCATGCCGTTGTGTTTTGGAGCAGGGATGCTCTGAACCAGGCACCAGCCTCCTGCCTCAGTACTAGCACTGCTTTTCCATGCCCCAGCCCAGTTTTGTCAGGGTTTACCTGTTTTTTTCCGCTCTCTGTTGGCGGCATCCCAGCTCTCTCAGCCCTCTGTTGAGACCCTCCCCAAGGAGTGACACAGCTCCACTTCCCCACAGGTACATACTTCACTCACGAAGCCAAAGGAGCAGATGATGCAGCCGATGCAGACACAGCCATCATCAACGCAGAGGGAGGACAGAACAACTCTGAAGAGAAGAAAGAGTACTTCATCTAGAGCAGCCTTGGTTTCTATGAGGTGTCCAACCGTGGATGGTTACTACTGGCCCTATTTAAATGCTAAAGAGACAGTGATATTGGAAGTTGCAACCAGCTTGTGTCTTTTTTTTTCTTTTTTTCTTTTTTTTTTTTTAAAGTCAAAAGGCAAATGGAAGGAGAGTCGTGAGGCTGGGAGGGTCCGGGATTTGCCGTGTAAAAATATTCCTCGTAAAGTACACTCTGCTGTTCGACACCTCAGTTTGTTTGGGTTTTCTTTTTTTGGCCAAGTCCAGCTTGGATTTAGTTTAGTGAAGTCATTTGCAGAAGATTCTGTGCCTTGTTTAATTTCTGTTTGTTGGGGTCGGGGGGAGGCTGGGAAGAAGAGGGGCTTCTGTGCGTTAGTTCCCTTCGGGTTTCTGTGGCTCTTCGTTTCCCCTTTCCTCTTCTGTTCCTGGAGTTGCCTGCTGGGACCCCTTGGAGTAGGTGGGTTTCTTTGAAGGTGTTTCTTTATCTCTTCACCATTTTCCATTCCGAACTCGAGCTCATCGGAGGAGAACCAGCACATTCTAGATTCCGTAGTTTGCAGTTCAGTGTGCCCATCTCCCATCCCCTCCATCCCCGTCAAGGCTTGGAGAACCAAACGACGAGAACCGGCGTGTGCCCGCCCGCCTTTCAGGTGCTTTCTGTGCTGCGACTAGGACCTGGGCTGGATTTGGCAAAGGGCTGCTCAGCAGCAGGGACAAGGACCCGGGGATTGTCCTCCTTCCCCAGAGGGATGCTGAGCCTGCCCCGTGCCCTTGCACCACTCCCAGCCAGGCTTGGGAGGGGCTCCAGCCCCTCACCAACCGCTCCGGCTCGCTTCCCTGGCCTTTCCCCACTGTGCTGGAGAAGGCAAAGCCCTTCTGGAGCTCTGGCCATCCTCTCCCCTCTGATGGCAGCCGCAGGACACGGCAGCTCCAGCTCCCCCTCCAACACGACAGCCGAGACCTGGGGAGCAGCCGGACAAGCAAAACTGCCTTTTTTCCCTACCCGCTAATTAAAGCCCGTGGGAATTTGTGTTCAAACGACAGTGCTAACTGACTTCTAAAGCCATAGGTGACAAGGAGACTCTAGGTCTATTAGAATCCTAAGGTAGCAGACTGCAGTGAGAAGACATTGTTAAAATTGCATAAGCTGAGGGGTTTTTTTGGTGGGTAATTTGGATTTCGAGTGATACTTTTTTTTTTTTTTGTTACTGTGTTTATGTGGAAAATGTATGCTGATTTATTTAAGGGAAGCATTAATCTTAGCGTCAGGTTTGGGGTGATTTGTTTGGGTTGGGTTTTTTTTTTTAGGGGGGAGCATTTTTGTGATTTATTTTGTTCTGTTTTTTAGTAGTTGTTTTTGGCAGAAGCATTTACAGTTGGGATGGGGAGAGTCCTTTGGGAATGGGATGGCCTGGCAGCCGCGAGCAGGTCCGTGCTCCAGCAGGTTTCTGCCTGTCCCCTTTTCACCAGAGGAGCCCCGCAGAAATATGTTGGGTTTTTTTTTTTAATTTCTTATTAATTATTTTTTACCCCGAGCAAATTTTGTGGAGCCAGCGCAGCTCTTTTCTGAGCCTTCAGCACCGTTGCCAAAACCACAGGGCGGGGGGAGCAGCCGGCGCGGTGGAGCTGGGGGGTTTGTCCCCTGCCTGGGCGGCGGGGCCGGGGTCCGAGCAGCCCATCCTTGTTTTGGACGTGTACAGTAGTGCAGTGTTACTGATGTAACTTTGACTTAACGATGTTGACATGTCTCAGGTTCATGTGTTTTGATTGGTGTTTTCCGTCTCAGGTAGATTGCAAAATTTCGGCCCCGCACATTAGGAAAAAAGAAATTAAGAACAGGATTTTAAAAAACCACAAAACGGAAATTACGAATTTTAGTTGTATATTGGTTTATGTATTTTTTCTTCAGTATACAGTGCACTGTTTGAAATGTATTGTTGAGTATTACTTTGTACAGCTTTAGATCATTAGGATTTTGAAGCGTGAAGAAAGAACAATCTTGTTTAAAGGTGTATTACACATGAAGGACACGGAACTGATGCTAAACAACCTTGTTCTTTATTCACCCGGCCTTTTTATTTTTTTCCCCTTAGGCCAGTTCTGTTTTAAGGTGTCCATGGAAGATGTTACAATGTAAGAAAATACATATCCATCTGTTCCCATTCACATTTTGTATTGGTTCATGTATCCCATTTTTACAAAGGAAAAGAAGTACTATAAAATATCTGTCTTCTTAATAAAAAAAAATTAATGTTACAAAACTAAATCTCAGTTTGCACTCTTTATAGAATCATAGAATCATTAAGGTTGGAAGGGACCTTAAAGGTCATCAAGTTCTAACCCCCCTGCCATGAGCAGGGAACCCAACCACTAGACCAGGTTGCACAAAACCTCCTCCATCCTGGCCTTAAAAACCTCCAGGGATGGAGCATCAACAACCTCCCTGGGCAACCCATTCCAGTTCCTCACCACTCTTATAGTGAATTATTTCTTCCTAATATCTAACCTAAATCTCCCTCTCTCAGTTTAAAACCATCACCCCTTGTAACACTATATTCTCTGATGAAAAGCCCCTCCCCAGCTTTTCTGGAACCCTAAGGCTCTGAGCTTTGTGGTTCTGGCTACAAAGGCTGATGCTGCTTATCCTGCCAGGGGCATTTACTGGGAAGAACGTGGGTCTGTAACTGATATTTCCATCTGCAGAATAAGCACTTTTTGTGCCACAAGATGCCTCAAGATCCATCTCTGTGCATTGCAACAGGGAGAGGTTCTTCCTAACTCCTCATCTGATGTGTTGCTGCAGTCAGCACTCCTCCCTGCAGGCCATGAGCCAGGATTAATGCTGTGCTCTCTCCTCAAACACAATCCTGCTGCTGCTCAGCTCCAGGCATTTTCAGGGATTTCATCTGCTCAGGGCCATGTGCCAAGCACTTGGCAGAGCCAACCCTGCGAGGGCAGAGGGCAGCTGGGGAGAGGAGGGAGTCCCTTGGTTAGGGCTGCTTCTCCATTCCAGAGTGAAACCCATAGAAGTGTGATTGAACATTATAAGTCTGTTGAGGATCCAGTTGTGAGCGTCGCTCGGTCAGACTGCTGCCAGCCACAGCTTCTGGGAGAACAAATGAGCCGCCTGTCAGAGGGGCCATGATTTACTCCTGGCTGTGTGGGCTGGCCCTGCCTATCCCATGTGGCTGTTCCCAGTGTCTGTGGCTTTGCCAGTGCCCAGTTGCTGAAGCAGCTTCGCTCTCAGGCTCTTCACCCTCTGAGTGCTTTTGCCAAGGCTTTGGATCCCCGTCCTCGCATGGCCCCGCCGGTTCCCCAGTCGTCTGCATTAAGCCACTGTTGCCTTTAATCTTGGCAATTGCGTGCTGCAGGATCCATCTGTCTGGGAAAGAAGCCCAAGCAGGGAGTGCTGCTTGCAAAGATCACAGGTTTGCTTTGTTAACAGCTTAAAAGGTACCTATCTCAACCTCATGACATCCCCAGGAACAAGAAGGTCTGTGTGGACAACCAGAGCTTAACCCTTCTTCCCAGGCAACTCCAACAGCTGACAGTACAGGGACACTGCAAGCTGTGGCAGTAGCCACTTGTCCAGCCATTCAGGGCCATGCAGAGAACTAAACCTTCTGAGAAGCCTCCTTGAGGCCATTTCCTAGGGATTAAGAAGTCTCAGCAATTTTCCTCATGTCCTGGATCACGGACCCAATGTCTTTCATCCTCTGCCATGCAGAGCTCACCAGCCAAGCAGGCTTTGCTGCTGTGCTGTGGGGCAGGTCACAGCTTCTAAGGAGCTTCCTCTGGCCTCCGTGCTTCTCAGAAATTAAGAAAACAAATTCTGTAATTTATTTGTGGCATCTGAGCCACAAATCCTTCCCACGGCTGTGCAGAGAGCCCAGATCTGGAGCTTTTTTAAAAGGACTTGGGGATGTTTCTAAATTTTATGAAACTGAGCAAAATTATCATTACCTAAAATAAGAATTTAGTGTTTGCCTTGCCCTTAACATTTTCACTAGCTGCCTAAGTCATTTGGTCCTAATCACACAATTTTTATTAGATAAGTAATACAACTATTTTTCCTTCTTTTTTTTTTTCTTTTCTTTATAACTAAATGCAGGGAGGAATTGGCAAAGGATTCTGCCTTGCACAACTACTACCTTTTCTGCCAGGCTAATCTTGCTAAAAGTCAAGGCTCTAAATGCTTGAGCCAAGTAAAGTAATTAGTGACAAATGACACTTTGACCTGGCAGCAGGCAACGCGCACCCCAGTTCTGGGGGTGGTGATTGAGATGCAGGGCCTGTTGGAGGAGAAGTGGGGAGCTGGGGAGAGGCACAGCCAGCTGCATCGATCTGTGCTGCCCAGGCCTTCTCATCACAGGCCCCTGACAACAGTCTAATAGCTTTTTCTGAAGATTCAATCCCATGCTGTGGGCAGCGGCGCCGCCGCGCAGGATCAGCCCTGCAGCATCGATCCAGGGGGTGCTGGGAGCAGGTCCCTGCAGCAGCTGCTCCCACATCCCAGCCCTGCCGCCCCCACATCCCAGCCCTGCCGCTCCCACATCCCAGCACTGCAGCTCCCACAAAACAGTCCTGACGCTCCCCA